TGTAAAGATTAATAGTGTTAATGTAACAATAGATAAATACCCATTTAAAGGGTGGGTGGGAAAGGGGATCAATTTTAGTGATAGATGTTTGTACACAACTTACCGTTACCGTAGAAACAGCGAGTGGTTACCGTGGAGACTGACAACAACACACAGAAGTCGTCAGGGAAACAGAAAAAATATAATAAATAAAGGAACAAATAATCCCAGGAACAAAAGAAACCTAAATGCCCCTCCCCGCCCTCCCCACCAACCACCACCTGTTTTTGCCCCAAACCTGATAGCAGCATAGTTAGAGCTCAGAGCAGAGTACGAGAGAAAGAGGAAGGGAAAGGAGAGAGGATGCTAGCTCTCGATGCTCTCACCATTGTAACAACAAACACGTGGCAGCAAGGTGTTCGGCGCTCTAGAGAACATGGTCCAGAAGAATGGAGGTAACTGGGGAGGGGGACCTTAGCCACAAAATAACTAAGGAGCAAATGGAACACCTCCAAGGAAAAGAAAAGAAGACACCAAATAACACCACCCTCCATCGTTAGAGCAGAATAGCAAAAGTCAGTTTATTGCTGCCTGGGTCTATTTCCAGTCAAAAGGGCAAGCAGGGACATTTTTGGATAGAAATGGACTGATTCTTGTGTAGCAAAGTTACGCCACAGAAGGAAGAAATGTGTGTTTGGACACTGAGTGACTATAATTTCCACTTTTATCCAGTCACCACAAAAGAGCACACTGAAGGCCAGTCAAACAAGAAAAACTAGATGGATGATAAAATAAAATAAAATAAAATAAGGCAAAAAAAAAACAAAGAAAACCGACCAAACATCTTTTCGTCTATTCCAAACTAATCAATACGAAATGACAGAAAGACAAATGTGACTGGCGAAAAGAGAATGAAGGGATATTGAAGAGAAAGAACAGAGCAGACACACAGCGACAGATCAAGGGTTGAAAAGGGCAAAGTGCAAACTCTCTTTCCCCGTTTCTTTCAACCGCTTTCTTCGTAAACACACACGGACACGCTCACATTTCATTCATTAATCTTGGCCGTGGTGACTCATGCAGTAACAGAAAGCTCAAATAACAGATCAAATACTGTGTGTGTGTGTGTGTGTGTGTGTGTGTGTGTGTGTGTGTGTGTGTGTGTGTGTGTGTGTACGTGCGGGGTGGGGGGCCGTGGTCATCTATGACAGGTGAGCCTTCGAATCAGACCGTGGCTGATCCTGTGACTCGCATTCGAGTTCATTCAAATGAAATTCTCACGGGGAAACGACTGATTGAAGGCCCAACTGTGTCTGTTAGAGGAGCGTGTGGCAGCAGCACCGTTTGGTGAGAATATGCGTTGTCAGGCATGCAGAAACACAGACACAACTGCTTCTCCTCCCTTTTCACCCGCACACATCCATGCAGCGATGACGACACTCCTCGGGCTCGCTTGCACCCCCGACTCGAGTCCCTACTTTGCATGCAAAGCTGCACCGTTCGTGGCACAGAGAGACACACACGTGTCAGCCATTCTGTGCTCTTGTGTTATATCTGACTAAAACTCTGCGCCGCGGAGGAGCCTTCACTTCCCATAACACTCCAGCAACACAGATCGATCGCAAACGCACAATTCTAGAGCGAGGGTTAGTGAATGGGAGTTTGCAGGGTCCAACATGGTCTCTGTCTCAATACCATTTCTTCTATGGATGTGTGAAGACCTGTAAAATATGATACTTGCAACAACTTAATTCTGCGTGTGCGATCAAAGTGTGCTTCGATCATGATTATTAGGATTAATCAAAAAGTTAATAGCCTAGCATCATACATCTTCACCTTCAGACGGTCCCGTATAAATAAACAAAGAAGGAAACATTAAAACTTCGCTCCCTGAACAAATGAAAATTGCTCTGTGTGACCAGCAGCTGTTGTTCACACAGAGCTGAATCCAATCATCAGCCAGAAGCACAGTTACGACAGCTGCATTGTTTCAAAATGTGCGAGGCGCACACCAGATGTGTACACCAGCCTAAAAATAAAGTGGACCCATTATGTTCATTCCAAGCTCTACCATATTTATTTTATTCCAGCCCTATCTTTATTCATCCTATCCCTGTAAGCTGACTTTCATCTGATTGGCTGCCCCTCCCAAACAGCAGTGGTCTGCTTGAGATGACCATATAAGGATATAAGCTCCTGGCTGACAACATACAAATCAAAGACAATTAAAAAACAAACAAATATCTGAACAGTAAGCATTGAGAGGACTTGTATGCGCAGGGATGACACTAAACCTTATTATTTGAAATTTTAGCTATGTTTAACATAAGCATCCACCTTTAGAGACAGAAAATAAGAAAAAGGCTCCCTTTAATTTTTCTGTAACTGGAACTGAGACTATGATTGGACCCGAATCAACTCCGCTTACAGCCACTAACTACAAGTAGAATAAATCTGTGATAGCACGTACAACATGTGACTAAAATGTAGATAAAACAACACGTTAATGACAGCCAAAATGGTACAGTCAGACAGATGCTTGGAGTGTGGGCTGCTTTATGTCAGGGCATACACACAATCAGAAAGACAGCCATGGATAGATGAAGATGCGCATGTTTGAAAGTGTGTACAAGATCCACATTGTCACAACTATATATAGGCCTATAGCACTCAATGGTCTATATATAGAGTAAATGGTGATGAGATGGGAAGAAGCAGGTATAGACAAAGAACTGTAGTTGGGCCACTTACATGGATACATTGGAAGCATACAGGAAACTGACTTCTTCAAAGCGCAGAGTTTTATTCCAGACAAAGAGAAGTACAGTGTAACTTTAAGTACAACAACTCTGTTTCTACTCTCTTTCATTTAATCCACATACATGCACACTATGGGGAGCTAGTAGGAAAACAAAAAGGAAATAAAATAAGACTACCCAATTCCACTTGCATGCACCAAGAATAAAAACAAGCCAGCACTCGAGTACAGTACAGCATTCCTTTATCAATCATTGAGTCAAAATCAGTCTAGGAGTTCAGCTATCAAGCCTTTTTCCCCCAGTAAGTGAAACAAGCTATAAGCACTCAGGTGTAACTCAGTTCATGCCAACCGAACAAGTAAATTAACAGCCCGTCACCACAACTAATTCAACAAAATAGCCATACATAATAAACATGCAAGAATAAACATCCAGCTGTCAGCAGTACTGCCTCAGCGAGGCTCCAAATTACCAGATTAAAATATAAATCATGCACAACTAAATCTACATCAGCTAAACCCAGGCCACTGGATAGCAGTAAACTCTAGTCACACACGTAATGGTGAAATATTTATGTCTAAACAGTCGCACAGGCCTATATTTCAGAGTTTCTGAATTATAAAAGAAATGTGAGATTTCACTGTTGCTCTTTTACCATATTTGTCTCTGAAAACAAACTTCAACAAACTCTGAAATCATACGACCGGTTGAAGCGTGAGTTACTGCAGCGACATCTGCGAGAAAGGAGAACTGCCAGAGAGCGTTGCCTGAAATAGAAATGTCCGGCCGTTTTTCCTTGGCTGGAAGAATGTATAAACACAAATCCACTGTTTGTCCTGCGCCAGCCTTTTGTCTTCAAGCCCATGCACCATAAACAGACAGAAAGAGAGAGGCTGCTCTACAGACTCCTGCTGCTGACCCACCATGCGGCTGATACGTGACTCACTACGAGGCCATCGCTGCTACTGGAGTTCAACAAAACACATGCAGAGTGACGACTGAAAACAAAGATGTCTTGCTGTTTGACAAGTGACTTACATCATGCAAAAATCTGGGAAGAGTCACAGAATCAGGTTAAAGCGATGCCAGGAATGGCACAGGTTGTTGATATACAAAAGGAAAAACTGATGCATGGTAAACTGGCTCCATCAGTATCCATTCAGCTTGCTGACTGACTGAAGGTGGAGGTGGCGGAGGGGAATATAATGTTGTACCAGTGGATGCAGGTGGATGTTTCTCATTCTCCACCACACTGCAGCAGAACTGAGAGTACATAACTAAAAAGGTTCCAGCCTCATCCATCATGCAGGAACTGCCTTGCACACACCCACACACAGACAGACACACACATACATACTCGTCACAAGGAAATCACCACAGTAAGCCCATGCACAAAATCCTGGCTTACGATGGCACAAGTCAAGTGATCCGATATGGATAACTGGCTGATTGAAACCCCAATTAAAATAAAGAGGGAAGGAAAAAAAAGAAAAACTCAATTCAAAAACTAAGAACATGCTTCAGGTAAAACATGGGAAAGAATGTCACACAAAAAACACACAACCTCAAACCACAAAAACCAGAAAATAAATAAAATCAAGTGTACATTTCATCAGAAAGAACCCAGACTTCCATAAAGTGAGCATGCGTCAGTGTTGCTGTGATTCCCAGCATGCTGCTGTTGCATCAGGAGCCAAAAGCTGTCACAACCACTTAGCCACAGCACCGGGAGAGGGGAATACAGAAGGATTTCTCTATGCTGGGGGAGAAAAATAAGAGCATCTGACAGCAATCTGCCATGCATCGTCCTTTCACTGCGTTCCACTTGTGCCCTCCGGTGCAAAATGCACAAATCTCATTCCAATTGTTGCACGAGAAGTTGTAACGTTAGCGTGGCTGCAAGTTGTGCATCGGTTGAGGGGGGCAGGTAAAAAGACAACAGGTTAATATATGGAGGGCAGGGCAGGGGGGGAAACACTTCAGAGGAAAAGTACCCAGCATGCCTTAGTGTAGTGTTCTTGCACCCCTAATCATTCCCACCACAAAAACAAAACATCAAAATAATAAATCAAGTCTTTTGGGTTTTAAAAACAAGAAACATATTGCAGAGGACTGGTGTGGGATACCACTGGGCTGCATCAGAGCATATCACTAAAGGGAGGATGGGAGCTAGCTAGCACGTCAGTGATCAAGCAGAATTATGGTGGGAGTAGAGAGAGGAGACAAGAAAAGAAGGAAGAGAAAGGGAGAGAGCAAAATTACCTCAATCTTACGACCTTCCACCAGTGTGCCGTGGAGCTTTTCCCTGGCTTTCTCTGCGTCTGCGCTGTTCTCAAATGTCACAAAGCCAAAACCCTGTGGTACGCAGCAGAGGTTAGAGAGGTTGATGGTGAGTGAGGGGCATGTCAGAAGGGATTGCCGACCGGTAGAGGACAATCTGCGGGACTCATTCTGACACTGTTAAACAGATGACTTTAGTTCTGGAACAGCGATTTCTCACGCGGACTGCTAATACCACATGACAAATAGTCACAGTTACACAGGAAATCTTTCAGCAGTAAGCCGGTCACAGCATTGAGTATCAGATGCTTGATGCGCACTTACCTTTGAACCCCTCTCATTGAAAATAATCTCAACATCCAGGATCTTCCCAAATTGCTGCGAAGAAATTTGAGGAAAGAAATATTAGCCAACAATCTTATATCAATAAGGGATCTCACGATTCTGTGCTTAATTAATAAAAGTCATTCAGGGCCATGTAAAGCTATTTGAATTAAAGCTACTTTACACTAGGGGTCACTGTTACACAAAAGACAACATTTGCATTTTAATGTGCATTTCTTTGCGTTGAACTCTGCTCCATTTCTTTCCTCCTACTTTGACACTCATACAAACATGATGACACAGATAAGAGAACACCCATCAGTCTCCTTTCTTTATGACCGTTTCACTCTTTTGTCATTTGCTCTGAGGCAGCCCCTTATATGGAGGACGCAGGGTGTCTAGACTGATTTATTGATCCCCACCTTAAAAATGAGGCTCCAACAGTTCTTACCCCAAACATCTGCCTGAGGTCTGGGTCCCGGAAGCGGAAGGGGATGTTTGAAACATGGAGGCGTTTGGGGGTCCCTTTGGCCTCTGTCGAGTCTCCTGCTGAGCCTCCCGCTCCTGTGCCTCCTGCGCCGCACTGTACACCCGCCTCACCCTGAGACGTCTCCTCTGTCTTCTGTTTGTGGGAAGAAGAGGAGAGTGAGACAGATGGAGTCAAGTTATAGCGCTGTATAGATAGCAGGAGAAGAAGAAACAATGGAGAATAAACCGAAATGGAAAAAAACACAAGCAATTTATTTTTATTTTATTTAAATGCCTGTTGCCTCAACTCCTCTCTCCTTTCCTCTTCAGTACAGCAAGTCAAAGAACTCAAAAGTTACAAAAATAAAATAAAATAAAGATATGACACTACGTATCTGGTCAAGCTGTGGTAACCAGAAAATACTGCCCTCCTATCCAGGTGTGAGCTGCACGGTGACTTGAGCTTTTTTTACTTATATAATACTCAATTATTTATGTTTTTAAACACATTGGTAAACAAAAAAGAAGACATGAATTTGAATAATGAAATAAAGATTCAATGTGAGTCTTAATACATTCTTATATTTAGATTAAAATCTACTCATTAGCTCAGTAGCGACATGTTAGACCGCTGTTATTTGATCATCATATCAATAGGTGTACTTAAAATTATGTATTTAAAGTTAAATTTAACTGAGGGGTCAAAATGCCAGACATCATCATAAGAAAGCGTGTTCCTCAAAGAGGCACTGATGTGATCAGTGTGAAAAGCTCCTCCTACTTCTAAAAAAAATAAGAAGAAGAAACAAAATAACTGATCAAAGTTTCTTAAAATAACATGGACAAGTCAACTATAGTGAAAATAAAGAGCGCCCGTTGCATTTTATGCCTGTTTTCTGATAAGATACACGCAAAATCCTTCAAAGTAAAAGCCCGTGGGGATCGTGAGTCCAACTTGACTGGCGGTTTCTCGTTTTGATCAAGCGTTTGGGGTTTTTTAGCCTCAGCTAGTAACCCAGATGGGAGGGACTAGGAATCAACAATGAAACAAGCTGAGAAATGAGAAGAGGCGCGTCCACACAGTTTTGCCGGCAGCCTCGCTCTTATGCCTGTCTACACAGGATGTGTTCAGGTTTGTTCGTAATTAAATGTTTGTAGAAAGGAGTCACCCAAATTCACATATCCTGCAGTCGAAAAGTTTAGACTAAGTAAAAGCACAGTTTTTTGCATCTGCATATAAAGCGAAAAAGATTAAAACAGAAATGTCTCAGTTTGATCAGATGAAGATGAGATGAATGCTCATTTCATGCCAGTATCTTTAGGGAGGCAATGTGATCATATTGACTTTTAGCAAATGCAGTGAGATGTTTTTATTTTATTAGATTTGGCTGTTGACATTCAAGCTAAGCTAATATAAACACAACATGGGAATTTAGATCCGTAGCTCCTTGCTATTAAAACTAAAATCACCTGACGATTACTTTACTGCTGTTAGAGGAAAGTCAACTAACCGTCAGGTGTCGGTAATGAAGTCTGCTGAGGAATGCCAAAAACTGAGCAGGCAGCCACTGTTACCTCAGATTTGAGAGAGTTAATATTATTGTGGCAGCACAGCGTGTCGTGGTTTATGAGATGAATCATTATCAACTTGTAAATTCTGAACACATTTTAATGATCACTAAATCACTGTGTTTTTAATTTTCTATAACAATTAGTCAACAAAACACACCTCTCAGCTTTTCATGTATTCATGTATTTTGAAACTGTTTTTTTTGGAGACGTGAAGTATAAATGTGCCCGTCTCTAAAGCACTCTGGGTCAACGTCTGTTGTTTAAATGTGCTTTAGGGTATTAAAAAAATAGACAACATAGAAAAAATAGGTTCAGACATTTTCCATGGATATTTAAGGTATACGGTTTCATTTCCAAAAATGTTGTAATACAGTTCAGTGGACTACACACTGAACTTAGAGGATAGTATCAATCGATCTGATACCAATACCAGTTTTTGCTATACAAACTATTCATATTTGAATCCGTCCGCCCACCTCTACAAGGTATCAAGTATATATATATATATATATAAATAAAAAAACAAAGGGAAATGAAATCGTGGTGCTTACATTGCTGCTGTTGTTGTTGGTGGAGGTGGGGGCTCCATTTGCACCAGCCCCTACCTCTGCTGCACCTTGGCCTCCAGCACCAAACATGGCCCCAGGGCCAAACTCTGTTCCCGGTAGACCGTTTTGAGGAGGGGGTGGAGGTGGGAATGCTGTAAAGGGTGGGGCCACCAAACCCTCCTGTCCTCCTGTCGAATCCTGAGAGCCCTGCGGGAGCGGGGGAAGGAGGGGGAGGGGGGAGACAGAGACAGCTTAACATATATTCTCAGTGAGCTTTTTACTGCGACTGCAGCTCCCTGACGGAGAGAGAATGAGGGGGTTAAAATCCTGCCTATCAAATTTCACTCTCTCTTCCTCTCTCTCTCTCCTTTACCACACAGTCACTGCTTCATTCCCTGCCTCGCTTTACCTCCACATCTCTGACAGGCATGTGTTTTCAGTCAGCCGACCATGAAATATTTACAGCAAACAGATCTATTATTAGGGCAGTATGGTGGCGCAGTGGTTAGCACTGCTGCCTCACAGCAACAACGTCCTGTGTTTGACTCCCAACATCTAGCTGCAGCCTTTCTATGTGGACTGTGGGTAGCCCTGCTTCCTTCCAGTCCCAAGTCATTATTACTGGGGTTAGATTAATCTAAGTATGAATGTGAGTGCGAATGGCTGTCTCCCCAATAAACTGGTGACCTGCCTCTCGCCCTGTGCCAGCTGGAATAGCGACCCCGATAAGGAGGGGATCATAGATTATGAAGTTGCGAAATTTGATACAAGGTTTGAGATACAAAGATGCTTCTAGGATGGATCGACAAGTCGGTAGATAAATACTAACAGCGGCATGTAAACTGTGACATATTTACATACACTGCTGCATTGTGTGACTACTTGGGAAGATAAGCTGTACTTCAGATTAGATGCGGGAGCTTCACTGCCTATGGCTCTGTATCAGCGGCAGGATCACCTACAGATTCTTTAAAGCTGCTGCTGCTGCTCTAGCACGCTCACAAATACACACACATATATATCTTTATGTTGTGTGTGTTTGGGTGTGTGGTGACTCTGCACTATTGCTTGCTTCAATCATTTCACACACTCAAGGGCATTTACAGCAAAGCCAGAGTAAAAGAAAGGTAGAGGATGGACAGGGAGAAGCAGAATGAGTAGGTAGGCTGAAAGAAAAGATGGATTTATTTAAAAAAAAAAAAAAAAAGGCCATCAAGTTTGGGGTCAGGGCTGCTTTTTCTCTACCAAGCTAGGCAGGATGACACACCGCATCCAACACCATTAACCACTGGTCTGGTCTCTGCCATGGGCTGTATCTGGGCTGGGTGACGCCTAGAGACACTCTGTCTCCAGACAGCCTTTTTAATCAGGCAGAGTAACTAAGATGCCGCAAAGCAAATGGGCTCTTTCCCTTTCTCTAATCCTATAGCCCGACTGCTTACTGTTTTTCTGCAGTCACAGCTGCAGTGGCTGTAAACAGTCAACCGAGGCTAAAAGGCCCATCTGCAACACAAGCAGCTTCCTGGAGTCTGAGCCCAGCTGATAGTGGAGGAATCAGAGGAGACTGCGTAATCCACAAACAGGCTGGAAAAATCTGGGGAACTCGTCCACTACTGTTCTGACTGCAGGAAATGCATGTTAGGGGAAAAGGAAAAAAGAAAACTGTGTGTTTTGCATCCAACTACGGTCTTTGTCACCTTGTGATAAAGACGGCCCATCAAAAACCTGTTCAAAAAGAGATAACGCGCCATTAAAATTCATTAGCTGGGCCTTAGCCTGGCTATGTTAAATCAAAGCTTAAGCGTTCTTGTCAGGGCATGTGAGCTCATAAACGTGCAGTAGCCTGTGTTAAGCCACCAAAGGGTGTGTTCTTCAGGCATATCCCGACCCATGGCTGAGTCACAAAAACACACTCCTAGTGCAGAAAGGAGGAAGACTGAGTGGAGAAAGGAAAGAGTGACAACATAGCAAGGAGGAAAGGGGAATTAGATCGGGCCTGAAAAAACTGGACTACGTGCATTTATGCAATGCTAACAACTCAAGCTGCCGTAGTCAGCCAAAGACAGTCACACCTACTCGGCAACCAATGAACTGCTTTTGTGAGAGGGGGAGTAATTCTTTTTAGTCTACATTACTATAAATACTCATAAAAGCTATTGTTATTTTAAAGGGAATCCCTAACTCTTTTTCCATGTTGTTGAGAAACCAAGCTTCACATCCAGTTTGGGCTGCTGTGGACCTGCTGCTACTAACAGACAGCGGGGCTCGGTGAAGCTGTGGCTGCATGCGAGAGTCCAAACATTCAAATAAACCAATCCTGGTGCGTTTACACTGAAAGCCTTGAGCCTTTCACACAAACATTGGTAGAACAACACTGACAGGTTAGCTGAGTGCTTTTGCATGATAGGTTTTGTTGTTTGCTGAGCTGTGATGTGCAAAAGTTTACACTTGACTTTTTGATCATCTGTTCTCACAAAACACAGCCACACTGACTATTTCCAGCAGTAGCTACGGCGTAGATTTCCGGCTGAAGCATAAATCCACGGTAATGGCAGACCAATATTAATTTGGTCGGATGAGAGCATATCAACCAAACAATGGACCAGCTGACCTCTTCTAATGCCGCCGCCTGCTTGTAGCATAATTAGTCATACGGAAAAAAGCATCTTGAAGTATTGTACCATTCATCATCCTGCTGCTGAGGCTTAACAAAACAAACAGAGTGCTTATGACCATGTTTGTGAGTCGGATACCAAATTAAAAGATACAGTTTTTTTAAATGAATTATTGGATAAATAAATGAACTAATAAACAGGACAAGGAATAAAGCTGTCACTGGATCCAGATCAGACTGGATAAGACTACAGTGTTAGGGTGACACAGGCATTCCCGACCCGCTGACTAAGGAGCAGTGCTGCCCTACATGGCAGCGTCACATACTGAAAAAAGGAGAGAGGGGGGAAAGGAAAAAGAAAACCGTGGAAAAATGAAAGGGGGACTTAGCGGGGAGAGAGGAATTATAGGAAATAATGAGACACTGCATTAGAGTTACGTCTGGTTTCAAGAAAAACTTTCCAAAGGAAGAATTTTGACGCTGTAAGATAAGATTAAACAGGATATGCTTCTTATTAAAGTGTCATGAAAAGCAATCTGAGCAAAGGTGAAAACAGAGTAGCTTCAAGTATCAGCTGAAAAGCTCGCAAAATTAAAATCTGATATCGCAAATAAGAAACCACGACATATTCATCCCAAAACACACAGTGGGCGATTTACTTGAGAGACCTGAGACTGTGTTTTTACATACACACAGAGGATTCTGGCAGGGGGGGGTCAGCTTAGGTGTTGACACCAGCCACAGAGTCAACACCCAAATTGTGATGATGCTGAAAAATTCATGACAATTTGTCTATTGCAACTATCTACTAAGTTGTCTGGCTGAAGGCAGAAATACTACTCACAGATTCTTCTCCAACTACAGTCCATCTATTTTTTCTTTCCCTTCAGCTGAAGTCAGTGTGCCTGTGTTTATCTCCCCCGTCCACCCACCCTTCCCTCTCTTCCCTCCCTTCATTCTTGCCTGCCACGCTTGATGAAAGCAAGAGGCCCATATTTTTTCGCCTTCTTTCAAACCCACTGGCTCTCTCTCCTCTCCAGTCACTCAAAGCCCCAACTGCACTGATATGTCCATCAAACAGGCCACAGCCCCATCTCCTTATACAGCTGCCTCTATGCAGACGCTGCCTCTCTCTCTTGAATGTGCGCCAGTTGTCATTTAGAGGTACATCCATAGTGCACTGGCTCACATCCAGAGGACACATAGATAGATATCTGGCAACAAAAGTGCCTCAACACAGAACCTTAAGTCGAAGCTCCCGTTCCATATGCTGCAGCTATAACTGTAATCAGAAGCAGCTCGTAGGTTAGCCGTAACCACCGACTCCTGTTAAGGCGGTCAGGAGCTTCCGGAGCGATCAACGGCGAATATTTAATGCTTTGGTTGGAGCTCTTGAGTGGGAGAGCAGTGGGTGGGGTGCTGCTGAAGATGATGAAAGCAGGACACACAACTTTATATTTAATTAAAAGGCATTTTCTCTTAAGGACTCTGGTTTTATAACCACAACGTCGTCTGACAAAAATGACCACACGCAGCTTTGCTATTTTTACAACTGTTTTAAAATTAGACACAGCCTAAATAAAAAAGTCTTTTATTTTTTATTAATATCACAAATTGCACTGCCTCCATTTTGGTAACAAACTACTAGAACAACATTGCACATGTGCCTTTTTGCTTTTCTCTTCCAAAAACTGCACAGAGATGACTAACAGAGAGGTGCAGAGAGTGACCCCATGCTCGATGGCTAGTTGTTGCTAAGGAGGAAAAAATAACAAACTCCAAAGAGTTGTCAAGTTGGGAAAAACTAAGCTAAGTAACTGAGTAACGATGACGGTTGGGGATCAGGGAGATATCCAAGCTGAGGTGGTGTCGATTTCCACTCGTTTAAAATAAAAAATTAACATAAACCAAATACCTAACCCGCTGTATGAACTACAGACTAACCCCACGCTGTCTGTCAGTGTCAGCGGCTCCGCAGCTCCGCTAAGATCTGTGACATGCAGCCTGTCGGTTTTTGACAGCTCTGATCAACATCACCATCAGTATCATTACCATAATCACACAGACTTCTCTCAAACACTCGCACTCACTTTGGGCGATGTGTCCTAAAAATAACCAACCAAAATTGTTTTCCTTTAGAAAAACTGCAACAGTCAATATCGGTGTGTTGTGCAGTAAGTTCGCCTGCGCATACAATAATGCATCACGTGCAAGACTGTCAGTGTTTTTATGACAGTTGATAAAGAGCAGCTGGAGCACCATCGCTGTGCTGAAGTAAAACCATCACCGTCTGAGTATTTGGTCAATTATATGAAGGTCGAAAAATGAATCACAATAATTATCGTGACAATCAATTACTCCTCAATAATAGTAATAACGGGTTATTAGGTTCCATTTATTTAGATGACTGGATTTGATGTTTTAATTGTCAATAATGACAGTGAGTTGATATTAAAGGGTTTAAACTATTGATCAGAAAAAAATACATTTGCAAAACAACTTTTGGCTCGGATGAAATTATAACAGGGATTTCATTTTTTTTTTTTTAACAAAGCATCAACAGAACTGCAGAATAATTAATGATGAAAGCTAT